AAATATATTACATTAATATATATATTTAAATGCCTTGTGAGGCATTTCTGTATTAAAAGCATAAATTCAGAAAACACTGCATTTTACATCTGCACATGTGAGCTGATTGATCAGTTCCACAGAAAAAAGTATGTCACCATCCTCAGTAAATTTGTTAGTCTTCTTGTTCTCTATTCTGCCAAAAGAGGATAAAATACACATTTCAGTAATGACAAAAAGACGTATGGAAACGTTGTTTCAAAAATCATTCAGCTACAGAACTGATGCCTCATACAGTCATTGTGACAGATAGCAGTACACCAATTTTCCAATGGAAATTTTTAGAGCCTTTAAAAATGGAATAAGATTATTTTAAAAACAGTATTTTATTTACTCAAAATGTATAAAATAAAGATGTACAACACCCATTAGGGTAGGTTTATTCCTGTCCGTACTGCAGAGCTTACTATATTCAATATTACAGATTTTAGCTAGATAGCCCTCTATGTTGCTAGCCCTAAACACTGTAACTATGAGACTGTTTCTGCATAAATAATTTGTTTACAATAACATGGATGGTTTTAATTTTCATCCCCCCCTAATTCCAGACAGGCATTAAAGCTGCAATGCTATATTCTTTACCTAAGAGCAAGCCCCACTAAACTTAGTGGGACTTACTTCTGAGTAAATATGTCTCAGGTTGCTGTACAAAAGTCCTATGCATGTTCTCCTGTAAGCGCCACTAAACAGAGTGGAATCATTCTTCTGAGTAAACATACATAGGATTCTTTTATGCAAGTCATCTTGGGAGGAGTTTTAAACCTAAAGGAAGCCTATAGAATATTTAAATAAATAAATACATGTTGTTTTGTATCATCAAGTTGTTTCTGACTTATGGCAACCCTATCACAGAGTTTTCTGGGGCTAGAAGTGTGTGACTTGTCCAAGGTCACCCAGTGAACTTCCATGGCTGAGTGGGGAATGGAAGCCTGGTCTCCAGAGTCCTAGTCCTATGCTCAAACCACTACACTACGCTGGCTCACAACATGGATGGTGTGATATTATATATCATCAGAACTTTGAAGTAATACTATATAAGTAACATAAGCATCTCTCAGTAATGAGCAAACAATGAACTTATATTTCCAAATGTAATAAGAGTGAATGGGAACAACATGGCGTTTTCAGGGGCTTAGTGGTTAAGACACTGACTCTGACGATTGCAAGGTTGGTAGTTCAAGACTCGAATGTCACATGACAGAGTGAGCTCCTGTCACTAGTCCCAGCTTCTGCCAACCTAGCAATTCGAAAGCATGTTAAAGTGCAAGTAGATAAATAGGTGCCACTTTGGTGAGAAGGTAACAGCATTCTGCGCAGTCATGCTGGCCACACAATCACAGAGTTGGCTTTGATAATGCTGGCTCCCTCAGCTTTGTAATGGAAATGAGCACCGCCCCTTACAGTCGGACACAACTAGACAAACTTGTCAAAGGGGAAACCTTTATCTTTCAAGAAAACTTTATGAAATTCATAGGGTTGCCATAAGTTGACAGGTACCTTGAAGGCACATGCATTACACAGGGAAAACATTTCATTTCCTAGTAATATTTAAAGATCATTTTAAGAAGCATTTTCAGTTGAATTTTTCACATTCTATGTTATCAATACTGTTTTTTAAGTAACAGAAAAGTAAAAAATAACAATATTGGGGGGGGGAATAGCATATTACTGGGTGGCAGCTTTGTAAAAAAGGTATGTACTAAATCAATTTTAAAAAGTAGTATTACTAGTCTTGAAGCTGATGCTGATAATGAAAATAATAGATCACTCACCAATTACTGTATATAGTCTATAAGTCTAAAAATTTATGCCCAGAAATTGACCCCAAAATCCCAGGTAAACTTATTCAGAGGTCACTATGTTAACGTAATAGCAGCTCTTTCAGATTTCCCCATTCAGTTTCGTTCACTCTTTAGCCAAGCAGATAGTCCTGGGTGGTTGATTGATATTGCTGTTTGTTTAAAAGTCTCCCTCCCGCCCAGGAGTCTGGCTGAAATGAAAGCTGAAACGATGAAGCAAAAAGCCTCAATTAGAGCCTCTCTTGCCGTATATACACATACACTCACTGAAGGAGCCTCCAGGTTTTACCCTCGACCTATCCACAGGTCATGGCAAAATCCATAATTTTGACCCCAAAACCTGCCTTCAACTTATACATAAGGTCGACTTATGGTGGAGTATATATGGTAGTTAGATGTGCCAACAGATAAAAATAGGATTAAATTTTATTTTTAGATTTTTGCATTAAATGGTTCAAGATTAGTGAGGGCATTCTTATAAAAAATCTGTGGCTAGTTTACACAGAATATCTAAAAATCTAAAAATTATAAGGCAATCAAAAACAGGTATTTCAGAGACATGAAGAACCTCAAGCCAAATGAAGTTTTCATCCTCTTAAACAGCAATTTATTTCATACTGGACTTTAAATGATGTATCACTGATTCATGAAGGGACTAGGTTCAGTTTCTAATTTAGGTCAGTCATTTGTATGTATGCTGGGACATGAAGTAGGGTTAACAAGGAGGACAGTAAGCTCTGAGGCCACTAAAAGAAGATATAGAAACAGTGCAGTGCCATAGTCTAGATACTTACCTGCCTGGTCAGAACATCCGCTGGCGTTTGCTGGAGTCCTCCATGGGCAAATCTGCTAGTATCACCTTTAACTTCACACCATTCACAGTCTTCCCATGGAGAACAGCTATAGCATCACCAGCACTTGCTCTGTCTGCAAACATAGCATAAGCTATGTTTTCTCCAGGGATAACATAAACATTTATAAAATTTCCAAATCGACTGAAACAACAAAGCACAACAGTTTACCCAGTTAGGTATGAAATAGAAGGGTGTATCTCAGTTAATGAAGTTAACACAAAATTTAGTACCAGAGGAAGAAATAATGTGGAAAGAATAGAGACAGGTTTCTACACTATACAAAAGAACAGCTCAAGTTTCAACAAACTTTTGCTTCAAAACTAACAATAGGCACATGTGAAATAAAAGAATCAGATCAAGTAGGTATTGCATAAGTAAATGAAATCATTGTGAACCTTCTAGAGATCACCTGAAAGCTTCTTCCAAAGTGCATCCAGGAATGATTCTTTCACCAGCCTCCACTTTTCTAATGAATTCTGTTTTGGTGGCCAAACTTTTAGATTTATGCTTGTTTAACTTGTTGGGGGTATCTGGTGAAGGAGGCTTATATACTAACTTTTTTACATATAATAAAAATATACTTTTTACATTTGTTTTGCTGTTCACGTATGCTCAGTAAGGGGTGCTGGAGACAACTGCTATTTACTTTGCCTGTTGTAGGCAAGCACACATAGTTGCAATCAGATCAGCTACAGTAGAATCCCATGTTTTTTGTAGCCCAGAGTATTGCATTGTTTACTGCAGACATACTACTGCAACCCATCACTGAAAATGTGTTTCACCAGCCATCCTAATCCTAATGCCAATGCTGCTAAAACACTTCCAGATAGACAGGGGATGAGGAGAAAAAGTGAGGGCTGGGTAGTTGTCAGAAAGACTTTGTAAAACAGAAACTTTTGTCACAGGCTTTGTTAACTGAGGTATCCTTGTATCTCTCTCTTCCAGATACTTCATACTATCACACAGCCAAACTATATATAATTATTTGATACTACAGTCAAACACATCCTTGTTAGTATGGGGTTTTGGGGGGAGGGGTTGGATGTAGTAGGCCATACCTTAATACATTATCCAAGATATCTTGAGGTAAAGGATGGGGATTAAACAGAATTAAAAGCCTTTCCCGCACAAGAGAGTCAGGGGGAGCTTTCCTTTTGCTCAGTGGTAGCTCAGTGTCTGCTTGGAGATGAGAAGAGGAGCTGTGGGACCCCTAGGGAAGGATGAGACATCCTAATGAATCCTATGTTTTGCACATTATAAAGAATGGACTAACACACATTAAAAACTGTAGGTACTTGGATGTTTTTACTTGAACAGTTTTGTTCTCACTTCTAGTGATTAAGTTTCCAGAAATCTCAAATGTTTCCAGAATAGCTGCTTTTCTTAAGCACTGCTACAGTTAAATCTATAATCTACTTCATCTTGAAGATCCAAAGGAAAATGAAAAAAAAAAAAAAAAAAAGCTCTCCTACACTACAGAATAAATAGAATCTAGTGAAGCATTCTGCTCTCAATTTCCAGAGCAAAGCCTGAGCCCCAAAGGACATCTGAAACAAACTTCCAAAAGTATGAAAGATATTTTTAACACTAAAAGTACAGTTCAAGAGTGGTCTTCTCCTAGTTTGGTTTTATTCAACCTCCCATTCTGTATGCTAGACTATCTTTAGTCTCTTAAGATTTCTCAATGCCTTTTGATGTTATATTTATTCTCTCCTCCCAGCCAATACCTCACATCCCAAGGAAGTTAATGGCTCTCATACTATTAGATAGATGAAGCTTCCATTCGCTTAATGTGGCAAGATGTGGCGTGTCTGTGTGTGAGTTGGGAATATTGTCTTGTAGGGCAGACAACTGTTAAACCACTTGCCCTGTTATCTCACCTTCATCGTTGATCATATTGGTCTTATCCTAGGCATGCTTTTAATGCTAATTTTATATTAACTATTCTGTCCTCTTATTATGTTTTTGGCCTTCCTTTCCACCAGGTAATCTACAGTTCACAGGTCTTTACACATACTCTGCTAGAGAACAGATTCCTAGCAAGTGCAGCACCAGAAATCACAAGAGGTTGAGATGGGAAAGAGGCCAAGCTCAAATATTTGCAAAACTCTGTATATTCAGGATTCAGCAACCCATGAAGGTAGCCCCTGGAAGATGGGTTTCCTAGAAGGTGGGGAGAGGACTTGGGGTCCCGCTAGCAGTGTCGCGTCTCCTTTGAATGTTGGAGAATGTATTAGCTCAAAAGGAGGCATGCAAGAGGTGGGCAACTTGCTAGGATCTTTTTATACCTTTTTATAGCAATACTCACTACAGTGTAGTGCAGTGATTTGCTTGTTGGACTAGGATTCTGGAGACCAGGGTTCAAATCCCTGTTGTTGTAGAAATAACAGACTATGAGCTATTCAACCCACAGCACTTTGGGTTACTTGCAGAGCAAGAGTAAGAGAGAGGACTGAAAGTCAGTTTGTAAACACAGGTTTATTAACTGGTGGTCCCAAAAGGAATTAGCATTCCAAAGCATTGGGCCCAGAACAGAAGAAAATGGCTTTGTTTTTTTATACACCATCAGACAAAGAAATCCATTCCTTACACCTCATTGGATATTTCAAACTCTAAACATATAGAATCTCAAGCAATGAGAGTAAAGATTTCAGAATACATTATAATCTACTTAAAGCATATTCCAATGTTCTCTTATCAGCAGGATGGTTCCATGGGCCCCTTGGCACAGAGTGCTATGTCTCCTAACAGTGATTTATTATGGCTGCCACTCTGGTGTAGTTTTAATGCACAGGGCCTTCAGAAGGTCACTCTGTCTCTAAACAATTCCTGCATTCCAACCTTCCAGCATTTCATTTCTTTTAAGAGGCCCCAACTCCCAGAATCCTCTATGTATATGGCTAACTTGGCATCTATTTCTACATTTCCAACACAGATGGCTAAAATATATTGACTATTGAGACTTTTCCACCTCATGCTTGGCCATGAAAGCCCACTGGTGACCTTGGGCAAGTCACACATCTCAGCCTCATACTCTTGGCCATGGCAAACCCCCTCTGAGGAAACTTGTCAAGAAAACCTTATGATAGGGTCACCTTGGGGTCACCGTAAGTCAGAAATGACTTGAAGACACACAACACAACACACTCACTGCAAGACTCAAGTTGGAAGTATATAAGGTGTTTGTTGTTTTTAAGAAAATGTGCAAAGCAGCATGCAAACATACCAAGGACTGATTCAAGTACACCAGGAAACGTGAACAAAAATGACAGGGGTCAGGGGGGCAGGTTATACCCAAAATCTGCTCTCAGGATATATGTTGTATACCCAAAAGCTTTGATGATCTTCCCAAGGAATGGACAAAGTGGCCTGGAAAATTTACTGTATATACTCAACTATCAGTCGACCTCATGTATAAGTTGAGGGCAGGTTTTGGGGCCAAAATTATGGATTTTGATGTGATCCATGAATAAGACGAAGGTAAAACTTAGGGATATGTAACAAAGGATCTAAAAGATGAAGCAAAGGAAAATGATGCTAAAGATCTTTAAAAATTTTGATAGGCATAACTGTTTGTGCTCACTCTAAAGACTGGATAGATGTGATAGTAGAGGGGGTTGATGCTTCTTTTAGGTGCTCTGAGAAAAGATTAAGCCTTTCACCAGGGCATGGCTCCTTTTTGGATAAGAGTTAAAGTACAGTACTTACACTGACACATGGATAAGTCGACCCAGGTTATTTGGGTCAATTTTTTGACTAAAATTTCTACACTTATGCATGAGTAGAATGCATTGGTGCAATGATTTTTAGCACCAAGGTGTTTGATCTGAAACAATCATTTGATAATCAGACAGATGGAGAAACATAGGGACACCAAAGAGGAAAACAGGGTAAGTTCTCTGTTTATCCTGACAAATGCCTTCTTTTGTTTCTATTGCCATAGGAAATGCAAAATAAGCAGGTAGGAGGAATGTGGCATGCTTAGCACAACCTATGGTGCCTGTCTTTTGTTCTTTATCTGGTTACTGTGACTTTGACACTGGTTTCTAGTGCAAAATATGTATCAGGTGATCATCATGACTTCCAGTCATGTTGCATGCGAGATATTAATTATAAAAAACCCCACATCCAGCTGGAGGGGTGGCAGAGCATGCTAACACCACCCAAACTACTGTACACAGCACTATTTATGGGTAAATTCATATCACCGCAAATTCTTAGTTGAGTTCTGACAAACTTTTGGTACATCGTCGGTCATAGTTCTTAAAAATGGAGAATGAGGTACAGAACAAAAGACAGGTGCCATGGGTTGTGCTAAGCATGCCCTATCATTAAGTATGAGAGCCAACAATAATTTCTCATCCAAAAGACACTAAGTATGTATATTTTCTAAGGACAATAAATTCAAGGGAAACAATCCATAAAAGAACTAGAAATTCATAAACTGCAGATATAAAGATACAAAACATGCATTTCAGGAATGTACACCCATTTAACAAGAAAGAAGTGTGGTACTTACAAGTGACCCTAGAAGTTGAACAGGTAAGGTACTTTTCTGAATCTTTGATGACAGTTGTGAAGTCACAAAATGCTTTTTTATTTCTTTGTCAAGTCTAAAGACACATTAAAACCATTTCAGTATAAAATAAACAATTTTATATTCTAACATTATTGAATTGATTTTAGATAAAGAAACCAATAATTCATGGTTATACACCAAGGTTAATTGTAAGCCAAATGCCAAACCGGTTAAATATTTTAAGTCCCATCAATATCAATAAAACTATTAAAGCATTCAGCTCACTCATATCAGCCCTCTATGATTTCAGACTTTAGAATAAAGTTAGGTATATGATTTTTAATAAATGATCACTGATCTAATCACTCATACTTACAAAATAGCCAATTTCGGAAAAAGTATCACTTTTTTCTATACTGTATTTCAGGAGTAGAGAACCAGTTTTGGGTGATGGACTGGATCTCATGTGCTGGATAGACACCACACGATCCCTGGGTGCAGTACAAGCTGGTGATCCAGCTTTGCTTCTCCTTACCTTCTCTGTGCAGGGGAAATCATGGGTGGAGCAAAGCTGTCTGCAGGCACATCTGCTGCCTGCAGAAGTATTTCTGTAGCTGGCACCTGGGTCTGGGACACTTCACCTGCCTGTGCTTTCTCCCATCAGGGAAAATGGAGACAGACAAAATTCTCCACAGGGAGATTTCCCTGCTTGCCACCAGCCTTCCCAATTGGAAAGGCAAGCAAAGTTTGGGGAAGATTGGACTGGGATGGCTCACAGGTCAAAATGGATGTGTGGCCCATATTTCACTCATACAAGTTCATATGTTATAAGAATGTAAAGATGAGAAATAACTAGAGAAACATATATTATAAAATGAGGAAGGAAGACTCAAAGCCAGTGGCATCACTGGGGGGTGGGGGGTGGTGCAGTGACCGGATGACACTCCAGAGGGGGGTGTCACCCAGTGGAGTAGTACACCCTGGGGGGAGTGGGTGGCTGCCTTTCCGGGACTCTGAAAGCTTGAGGGGGGATGGCTATTTGTGGGTCCCACATGGCCACGGCCACAGTGGACTCAGAAGGCGGGGAGGGGGGGAATGGCTGCCTTCCAGGTCCTGTTCAGCCATGGCCACATGGGACTTGGAAGGCTGAGAGAACTGCTCAGAAGGCCGAGCATGCCTCTCACTTTGCTGACACAGCATCATTCTACGCACTGCAGCAGTGAGGGGGGAAGGGCCCTTTGGCCTCACCCCAAGAAGCCCCACCTCCCCACGTTGTGTGACACCCTGGGCAGAAACGCCACTGCTCAGAACCTTCAATCTGACAGATAGAAATTAGACTATAATTCAAAAAGATATGTCAATTATACCTATTTACATACTTTGGCCCACTTTAAATCCATAGATTTTATAGCAAAAGAATTGATATACAAGTGAAGAATTCACAACAATGAAGAAGAATTCACAACAAAGCAGTTCTTAAGAAGCATGAAACTATGACTTTACGCTAGGCCCTAAGTGGAAAATATCCACATCTCGCTCCAACTATATACACAGGTCCAAAAGCTCTTGTTGCATTGACATTTTTGCCAAATAATAGTTTCCTTTTTGCAGAATCATAAGAATTGGAAGAGACCTAAATGATAACAGATATTCCACTTGAACAGTATACAAGTTAACTGGCTCCTTTCTTTGAAGCACAGTATAGTTGCACACAATAGCTGTGCTGCCGCAGAAAACACAATGAATTCTGGAAAGAAGTGTACACATATCACCAAGGGCTGCGGGCTGCTATGTGAAACAACTTCCAAAAATCAGCATAAGAAATGGACCAATAAATTAAACAAACACTGTATTTTAATTGCTTCCTAAAAGTGACACACCTGGAACATACTTCTAATTACTATCAGATATATCAATGCATTTTAGTTTATTTGTAATTGGGTGGCATAGTAGTTTAATTGTTCGACTATGACTCTGAAGACCAGGGTTCAATTCCGTGCTCAGCCATGAAAGCCACTGGGTGACCCTGGGCAAGTCACATGCTCTCAGCCTCAGGAGAAGGCAATGGCAAACCTTATCTGAAAAAATCTTGCCAAGAAAAAAACCCTGAAGGGCTCACCTTAGGGTTGCCATAAGCTGGAAATGACTTGAAGGCACACAAGAACAACAATATAAGAAAAGAAACAGAAATTCCTATTTTTCATGATTTGTCATTCCATGTTACAGAGTACTCAACAATCAAGAACTGACCAAAATTCTTTCTGGGTATATTTTCTTCACTGATACTTATATTGTGGCAGGAAACTGGCATTGAATGGCATTCAAAATCCACTCCAATGGCAGCTTCAGACATCAGAAAGTAAAAGAAAATCCTGTTTTTCTTCATGAATCATCTTTTATTTTCACTCCAAGTAGTCTACCTTGGCATCTGAAGACAAAAACCATCTAAAGACAAACATCACCAGTATTTGTGAATTATCAGACATGTTTTTCTTGATTCTCTTTTGCATACAGCTTTTGCACATGACTATATAAAAGGGAAAAAGTGCCACTACAATTCAACCAAAAGTGATTATATTTAATTTTATATGAATTTATACTTACTCAGTTTGACCTGTTCCATCATTAATGAAAGTGACAGCTAGCCGATTCTTCTCAAAAGGAAATTCAAAGCCATGTAGTTTTTGTTTGGCATAGATAGCAGATGCAACACTACTATACTGTACCACTGCATATGCTAAGAATGAACAAAAATATTTTTAAGTATGGAAATATTTAAGTCCTACTGGGCAATAAAGCACCTATCAAAATTACTGATGTAACACCAGTTATGACAATTACAGTGGTACCTCTACTTACGAAATTAATCCGTTCCACAGCCC